AGCTCGGTACCCGGGGATCCCACGTGACTTTTGACGAAGGACAAACATGTTTCGTAACACGATTTTTAAATTTCAGAACTAATGGAAATAGTGAGAGAAACGGTGGAGTCCTTCGGTCAAAAGTCACAAAATGTGTCGAGTGGTCTCTCCAGACCATTCATATCGAAAACAACACATAAATGTGATAGTTATATGCAGCTTGATAATGCTTCTTATCAGGCATGGTTGGAAGCAATGAACAATTCATTTGCAAAGAAGGATGTTCCTATAGTGAGTTTTTGTTTTGTAAAAAAAATCGTGTAACTTTTTTTGTGAAAATTACTATGATAGTTAGAAGTTCTGGAAAAATTTTGGGAAAAAAACAAAAAGATTTCGCAGCAGATGGAAGATTACTAATCATCGATGTTACCCACTCACCCAACCGACCAACCTTCTTAACGCTTTGAAAGGGAAGTGAAGAAAGGACACATTCCCAAAAGGGGAGAATGCGGATTTAGTACTGAAATTTCAGATGAGAATTTCACGTCTTCTGAAGGCGATTGGCATCTAGAAAAATTACTTTCCTATCTTCCAGAATAGTATATTACAGATGCTACCACTCTTGTACCACAAGTGAACACCCCATTCAAGTCATTCCCTAGTAACACTAGTGCACATATTCGACGTTTAATTAACTCACCTTCCGCTGATTGGATTCCTATGTACAACGACTTCTGTTTCTCTTCTTTTTCCTCCGTCTCATCCTTCCTTTTACTTCCATATTATTCACAGATGATCAAGTTTTCTCTTTTCTTTGAACCCGATTCCGGGTGCCTTTTTGAATGAATCATAATCTTTTGATCTATATTGCACTTTCCCCTTTGCTCCCTGATTGATATTTTCCCCCATCTTTACATTCTTATCGCCCGACATTTATATCCCCCACATCACTTATTGTTTTCTTTTATTAAACCTCCGCCCCCTTTTCTATCTATAAAAGCCCCTGAGGCTTCGTTATAATTGCGATTGACTGTTCTATGTTCAATAAATGATGTAGCCATCGTAAAATAAATGATGTAGCCATCGTAAATGTGGATTTCTGGACTTTGATGGTTTTCTCATCTGATTTCAATGTCGTCCTCTATTCGGTGCAACTTACCAATGAGAAACGAGAGTCTCAAGGCGGCAAAGAAACAGAATCAAAAAAGAAAAGAAAACAAATTAAAAAACAGGCAGATTCTCAATATGTCATTCTAACAAGTTGGCATTTTCAGGTTCATCCAATTTTCAGGTACCTGTTTTGGGTCTATTTAATTTTGAAAATCAGCTTGAGCCCATTTTGTAGATGTTTGAGAAACAGTTTTGGAGCAATATAAAATCACAGCACTTCAATAAAAAAATCGCAACAACGAAAACTTTATCGGACACAAAACAATTTCATTTTTCAAGTTTGTATCGATACTTCTTCTTGCCTCCAACATCCGGTGTAACTATCGGAAAGTCATTGAAATAAACTGGTGCCATATTCTGGTGCCAACGTACAGGAATCATGTGTCTTCTGAAGATGCATCTCAGTTTTCACTGAGACTTCCACTTTGATGCTTGCAACCTGAAAGTGACAACATCGTTTTCAGAAACTGTACCCACTTTCATCTTACTCTTACTTCACTGTTCCTTGAGACAGAGCTCATCGATCTACTCGAATCATCAAATTCGAAATCATTTTCATCCGTGAAAGCTTTCTTTAAGCATTCTTTGATTTTCTCTTCAAGATCATCCAATTCAGCGAGGCGATCCAACGACCAGAGGTGTTTTCCCCAACTGGAAAAAGAGAGAGTTGTGAGATTGAATTTACTCGTTTTTAACTGTTTTCTGTCTGTCATGGCCCGGCGAAACGCTCAAAATAGCTCACAGTTAGCAATGGACTTGAACAATTATCTATGCTTTTTTTCATTTTGTTTTATAAAATGATGTATTTGAACACGCTGAATCCCAAAAAAATCGGTTTCTATAGGGCGTTATTACTTTCCTTAAAACCCCTACCCCCTGAATGTTTGTCTGTCTGTGAATCAGGTTTTCCGGATGTAAATTTTTCTGACTGTCCACATTTCACTGTGTCCGACGATCGGAATGATTGCGCTATTGAAATTTCAGTTCCAAAATACTCACCGCGTCTTCATACTCTCCGCATCTCGATTGATCGTGCTCTTCTCCTTTAGCTTTAACCAAGTCTCTTTTGACCCCAAAAGCTATCGGTGTTTCGGGATTCCCTTTCTGAGAAGACTGTAGACGTAGGAGTAGAGGATTTTATCCTCATCTTCAGAGTAGTGTCGAAATTTTCTTTTATGTATCTTCGTCCTCTTTCCCTATTTCACATTCTGAAAAATGAACATAATTATCTTATTTTTCCAGAGTTCTCTTTCTTTTAAACTGTCTGTCCAGATATCCGTTTGTCCGGATTTTCAAAACGCCATGTTTTCTGTCTGTGTGTCTGTTTTCCAGAAATCTGTATTTCCAAAACTTTCTCAGATTGCATTGTGTATTTTCTGTTTGTGTGTACGTATGTCCGGATATCTGTGTGTCTGTTTGTCTCCTAATTCTCACAATTCCTTGTGAATCTGTCATTCTGGGATATCCGGATGTCTAGATTTGGCAAAATTCGTTTCAAAAAAGAACTATTTCTTTTTTCAGAACCTCCCCCTTCCCGATATTATTACCTTCTCTTCATCTGATGACGACTCTTCGTCTTCTTCCGTCTCCAAATCTGTCATCATTTCTTCAGTGGCCGACAATGGAATGGTGACCGTTCCAGCTGCAGTGATAGCTCCGAAAGCGGCTTGAGGGTCAGTGGCATCAGCTGGAGCAGGTCCGAAGTAGATAAGGAGCTTATCCTCTTTTGGTGCTCCGGCAGTACGGGTGATAGTGAGATCCTTGGATCCAGATGGATCGATGAGTCCGAACACTGGCGAGATACGGTACTCGTTGTTGTTCGACGACTTAATCTTGAAGACGAGCTTCTCAGCTCCGGCATTCACAAGCTTGTGGGTGGATGCTCCTTTGGCGGCTGGCACGGTGCATGCTTGTGGATCGGCGGTCAAAGACATGTTTCGGCTTCTGAGAAGACATTTAATCAGTTGATGAGAAAAAACGAGAAATCTTACGGTACGCCGTCCTTCTTCGGAGCAATATCCGCATATTTGGTTTTTATTGTCTTATTGACAGCTTTAATATTCGAAATATGTAATACAAATGAAGGGAATGAAGTGAAAACAGTTTTGATGGATACTGAAACTGCCACGTGGATTTGGATGGAAAATAGTGCACACTAGTGCAACACGTCTCACGTATTTATTTTTTTTTATTCTTTTTTTCTTTCTCATACCCTTGGTCAACGATAGCCATTCCCCCTTTTCATTTATGCCCTGCACGTGCTGCAGTGATGGCGCAGTGGCTAACGCTTCTGTCAAACGTTCTTTTGGCACTGGTTCGAATCCAGTTAGCTTATTTTTTCCCCCCTACTTCTAATTGTTTTAAGTGTAGTTTTAGCATGAAAAGTGTTTCATTTTCTGAAATTCCGCATATAACAGGTATAACAATTTTCGGATTCCCACCATTTTTCTCCGCAGTTCAAGCTTCTGGTAATACCTTTTGGTGGAATAAATTGATTCGATTTTTCTTCTTTTCGATTTTCCCATCATCCTATTGAAATTATCATGTTTTTTCAATTGATTCTAATTTATACTAGTATCACTTTTCTGTTTTTTTTTGTGAAAAAACCAATAGAAACCGTCATGAATACTCACAGGTGAAGGAGAACAATATCGAGTTTTATTCTACGAAAAACTATATTCAGAATCCAGATTATTCGATTTTATTTGTAAAAAAACGGTATTAATTGTAATTCTGATTCGAATATCAGATGGCATATTCAGTATCGTCTTGATTATAGTAAATAAAATCGTTGTCCTAGTATCGAAATGTGTGTGTGTGTGAGTAAACATTTCCCACATTTTTTCATTTAGAGTTCTAATGAATCTCTCAGTAATAGATGCTTTCCCATCAATTGTAAACCACTTCCACTATCGGAGCTCTATTCGGTAATTTCCTGGCTTGGCATGGATCACGAAGACATTATATTGGTTGGATGACACTTTTAACTACACAGCAGATTGTGGAGAGGACTGGTTGGCAACTCTGGAAGACTTCTCGAATTCAATAGATTAGAACCAAGATTGGTGAACATGACGAATCATGGCTACACTGATTCTTCTCACTGTCACTTTAGGAACCTTTAGAGTGTTCTTCTTCCTTGGACATGGTTGGAGAAACGAAGACTTTATCGAGCTATCTTTCAGTATCAGTTTTTGCTCAAGAAGATGCACTGGTTGAAAAACGCACTGGAGAAACTCTTGCCGATTGGAACAAGAACAAGCCAGTCGAGGAGCTCAAAGACCATCTGTCCAAAGCTCAAAGACCAGAAGATGCCCTCACTATTATCACTGCCTAAACTGAACAAGTTAACCGAAGAAAGGAACAGAATGCGGAAAGATTGAGTTGCTCTGGATTTCACAGATAGTGATCATGCTCCTTCGGAACGTGACAAGCTTTCAGTTGCCACTGAGGAACTTGCAGCGATGAAAGATGTATGGATGGCTCCGCGACCCGTTTACATTGGAATCGATGAAGCTAGAGAAAAGACCTTGTTGTCAGTTCAACCACTAAAAATTCGTCTATCACTTGACGAACTCGCGAACCAACTCAAACGACTTCCTGTCAAATGCAGAACTTATAAGAGATACGAGCACGTGAAAGGAATGTTTCACACCTACGGAAAAATGAACATGCTTGTAGCCGAGTGGAAATCAGAAGCACTCAAAGAGCGACATTGTCATCAAATGATGAAAGAAATGCTAGTTAACTGGAACTTATCTGGTCTCACTCTCGGACAAGGTAACCCTTCATGAGTTTTCTATCGCATTGTGATTAGTATTATTATTCTAATTTTCAGTTTGAGATGCCGACATTCTACGCCACAAGCAAACCATCCGTAAAACTTTCTTAGTGGACAGATGGCTTTGGAAGAGTTCTTGAGAGAGATGCGCGAATACTGGAAAAACTATGAAGTTGAATTGTTCAGAGGATGGGATGTTTTGTTCAACAAGTTGAAAGAACATCAAAATTCATTGTCTGCTATGTAGTTGTCACCATATTACAAGCAATTTGAAGAGAGTGCACAGTCCTGGGAGGAAAACGAAATGTTACTTGCTGCCTGACTCGCTGAATTGGTTCTGTGTGGTCCACCGGGATCCGGTAAGACTATGACATTGCTTGCCGCTCTTTGCTCTCAGCAAGAAATCAATGTTAACTTTTTCTTCATCAACTACACCAGAACTCCTTCTTCGTACTTTCGATCACTATTGCGAGTACAGGATTGTGAATTGAATTTATTATGAACCAGTGAGAAACGACGAACTTACAACTGATCAATTAAAATTTCAATGCAAAAACAAACAATTTTAGGAGGCAATTGTCATAGTTCATACACAGTTAGCTCTCAGAAAACATATATATTTCAGAACGCCTACTGAACAGCAGCTCAAGGAAGCCGTCGTCATCGTTGCCAATGCAGAGGAATGTTGAGTAAGGTTTTGACCAGTTTTCGTGCTCTCTTTGCCCGATTTTCAGATATTTTCGGCGAGAAGAAAAAACAACCAATCAGCTTGAACAAGACACAGGATTAGAGAGAAAGGGTTCGTGATAAATAATAAATGCGCTCGATAAAGTCTTCGGCTTGATTGAATCAATTGTAGTCAAGAATAATAAATAATCAAGAAATTTCAAATAATTCAAACATGTGTTATTTTCAAAAAATGTCTGCGAAACGAGAAAATGAAACTCTCGTGATTTTTGATTTGAAGTGTTTCTGTGTTTCCTCTCAAAAATTATGAATCCAAAAAATTGAAACAACACTCACTCTTGAAAAATAGTCAAAATACTGAGATGTCACAAAATTTTCCATTTAATTTTGGTGTGAAAAGCGCATAAATTTTGTTTGAATTTATTTGAAAAAAGTCAAATATATTTGACCGAATAAATTATTTGATTTGAGAAAATCAAATAAATTGTTCGAGCAATTTATTTGACTCTTACCCCAAATATCAAGCAATTCAAATAATCAAACAAATAATTTGCCCAGCCTTGTTCGTGATGAATAATTAATGCGCTCGATAAAGTCTTCGGCTTGATTGAATCAATTGTACCGAAATGTAGTCCATTGTAAATGATTTATATTTTCAGCTCTTCTCCACTGCCGTCGACAACAAGCTCCGTGAGGATCTCGAAAGAATGAAGAAGATCCGTTTTCATCGTGGGCTCCGTGTCAAAGGACAGCACACCAAAACCACCCGCCGGAGTGTCGAAGAAGAGAAGAGGATAAGTCCAATTGTTTGGATAGGATAATGTTAATTTTCGTTCATGTTATCTCAAAAATAAATTATTACTTTAATGCAATTTTTAATTCAATATTTAGCTTTCGGAAAACAAAAATGATATAGAGCAATAGGGAATGGTACGAAAAACAGGAAAATGGATTGAGTGGTTAGATAAAAGAGTAACAGAAAAATTGACAATCATTTTCAGGTCACGTCGGGATTTCAGAGGAAGGAGAGAGAGAGAGAGCTGATAGAAGAGAGGAAGTGGAAGTGCAGATGGCGGGAATTGTCGATTGATTGTGTCGCGTATGTATTTGTTTATCGATTTTTGTTAATTTTTTGGATGAAAAAAAAAACAAAAAAAAACCCCATTTCTCATTTTATTCCAAAAAAGAAAACATGTAATACATTAGAATACATTAGTATGGAATACGTTACATTAGATGTGATTTCGAGTTGGAAGGCGTTGGGACGAGTTGGGAGGCGTCGTATCAGTTTCCGAAGGTCTCTCTCAAAACTTGTTCCATTTCTGGAGGGAAGTCGTCTATTTGGACGATTCGATCCAGTTTTTTCAAGTATTTATTCCACCTGGAAAAAGAGAGAGTTGTGAGATTGAATTTACTCGATTTTGACTGTTTTCTGTCTTTCATGGCCCAGCGAAACGCGCAAAATAGCTCACAGTTAGCAATGGACTTGAACAATTATCTATGATTTTTTTGATTTTATTCCGTAAAAGGATGTATTTGAACACGCTGAATCCCAAAAAAATCGGTTTCTATAGGGCTTTATTACTTTCCTTAAAACCCCTACCCCCTGAATGATTGTCTGTCTGTGGATCAGATCTTCCGGATGTAAATTTTTCTGACTGTCCACATTTCACTGTGTCCGACAATCGGAATGATTGCGCTATTGGAATTTCAGTTCAAAAATACTTACCTCTGACGCATCGAATCTCCATCTCGGTTGATGGTGGCATACTTATGCACCTTGTTCCAGGTCCTCGCTGTATTCAACTTGAGTTGGCTCTTGGGGATCCCCTTTTGGATAAGACGGAAAACAAACGAGTAGAGAACGAGATCTTCCGCTTCGCTGAAGTTGGGGTTGTTTCTCTTGTTCTTCTTCACATTCTGATTATTTCCCTTCTTCGCTTTCTGAAAAATGAACACAATTATCATATTTTTCCAGAGTTCTCTTTGTCTGTCCAGATATCCGTTTGTCCGGATTTTCAAAACGCCATGTTTTCTGTCTGTGTGTCTGTTTTCCAGAAATCTGTATTTCCAATACTTTCTCAGATAGCATTGTGTATTTTCTGTTTGTGTGTACGTATGTCCGGATATCTGTGTGTCTGTTTGTCTCCTAATTCTCACAATTCCTTGTAAATCTGTCATTCCGGGATATCCGCATGTCTAGATTTGGCAAAATTCGTTTCAAAAAAGAACTATTTCTTTTTTCAGAACCTCCCCCTTCCCGATATTATTACCTCTTCTTCTGATGTCTCGTCAAGAGCCTCATCAGTTCCTCTGTCCGTCTCACAACTCTCCTTGGCGTCCTCAAAATCATGACTTGTCAATTGGATCATCTTCAGCTCGGTCTCCACAACAGTCATCAGTGATTCTTTCTCCTTTCGAAGATTATCCTCGATCGAACTGATCCTGAAAATTATTTAATCACTTGATGAGAAAAAACGAGAAATCTTACTTGACGCCGGGTTTCTTCGGAACAACCTCCATATGTTTGCTTTTGAGTGTGTTGTTGAGTCTATTGGTAATTTTGCGTTGACTCATAATTGACTTTTTGAAAGAAGTGATAGAAGGGAATGAAGTGAAATGAGTTTTGATGGATACTGGAACTGCCACGTGGATTTGGATGGAAAATAGTGCACACTAGTGCAACACGTCTCACGTATTTATTTTTTTAAATTCTTTTTTTCTTTCTCCCCACTCTCCCCTCTCACTCTTGGTCAAAGGTAGCCATTTCCCCTTTTCATTCATGCCCTGCTACCTTTGTACACGTGCTGCAGTGATGGCGCAGTGGCTAACGCTTCTGGCAAACGTTCTTTTTGCCAATGGTTCGA